TATTTATTTTGAAAACATTGAACATACATTTCTCAACCCGCACGGTGACATAGCATCACACTTAGTTCAAGGTAAATAAGAGCTAAATGTACAGCTTTCGCTGTTACATATATAGGCCTGTCGCAATATTCAATAAATCAATTAATCGCATGAGGGCGACAGTAGCTCAGTTGGTAGAGCATTGGCCTTAAGGCCAGAAGGTCGTGGGTTCAATTCCCACCTCTGCACCTTCTCCACCGACTCCCACTGAAGACTGCGGTCGTTGTGTCCTTGGGCAAGACACTTAACCCCACTTTGCCCAAAGCCCCCACTGAAAGATCAAGGCTATGCTCACACTCAAAGAGCAGCCGTCCTCCTGTGGACTCACCACCTGCAGAGGATCAGTGAGGGGCTGGTGCTATGAGACTTGGGTGGCATCTCTGACTGCCACCCCCCTGACCCAGAAATGGATTAAAGGGTAGAAAATGGATGGATGGAATTAATCGCATGATAATTAAAATTAGCTCGATAATTTTTCTGGCCCACTACTTCCGCATCTTCCGGCGGTGGTCTTTAAAAATAAAAGTTTATTTCTCTTTGAAAAGGTATACCTGCATCATTATCATTGTATTAGATGAAAATGATCTCAGAACGACAATATTATTGCTTATTGCAATAATTTCTGAGACAATTAATCGTCCAGAAAATCTGTTATCGTGACACGCCTAGTTTCATAGTAATTTCCGTCCTGAGAACAAACTTTTTACAACAATGACAATCCGTCATAAAGAGGCCTAGGTCCTCGATCCAGAATCAGACCTAATAATTTAGTTTACAGAAGTATACAACAATTTTGACAAGTTATTAACACTGTACTTACAGACCAAGGCTTCTGTAAATTCAGTATTTTTTTTATGTTGGGAATAACACCATGTTTCCAGATCAGCTTTTGAGTAAGTTCCGTTTCAAGATAACCATAGTTTCTTTGGTGGTATCACCGCCACTCGTAGAAAAACGTCTGCGAGTTTCGTTTTGGATTATAGACTCACCGATTGGAGGTGAACAAAGTCGATCCCCATTCGCCTCATTCTCTGTCCTCAGGTCAAATACTTTCATCAGATATTTACACCCAAAAATACAATTTCTCCAAGTTGACATGAAGCTAACACAAAAAAGCACAGACGCTTATTTTTAATTTTTAATTTTTAATTTCATTATTCTTAGCTATGGATCTTGTGCTTGCATGTGAGTCCTTAATAAAGTCTAAATAAATAAATCAATTTAAAAAAATTACTGTCTATGGACCAAACGCTGGACTCGGGGAGTGGCTGCAGCCTACAGCCGGGCGGCACGGTGGCTGAGTGGATACCACTCTCGCCTCTCAGCAAGAAGGTCCTGGGTTCAAATCCCGGCCGGACCAGGGCCTTTCTGAGTGGAGTTTGCATGTTCTCCCCGTGTCTGCGTAGGTTTCCTCCGGGTACTCCGGTTTCCCCTACCACTAAAAATATGTACAATAGGATTGGCATGCGCCTCCTGTTCGGCGACCCCTCTCCCATCTCTGTGTGGAGTGAGAGGACAAGTGCCCAAAAAATAACAATTGTAAACCGCTTTGAGACTCAGATCTGCAGTGAAAAGGCGGTATATAAATAAAGATTACTTACAGCCCAAACACTTGGGGTGGCAATCAGAGCTGCCACCCAAGTCTCAATGCACCTTCCTGCAGGTGGTGAGTCCACGGGAAGATTGCTTCTGATTGGAGATTGGAGACAAGGCCTTGGTCTTTCAGGCAATGTGGGGTGAAGTGTCTTGCCCAGGGACACAACAACACCAGACATCAGTGGGATTCGAGTGGATTCGAACCCATGACCATTAGATCCAAAGATCGACAGTTGCTGTACCAATTGAGCAACTGTTGCCGTTAAACAACAATCTTTTCAAAAAACAATTATAAAGAAGTCCAGTGTCATAGCAGCAAAGTGTCAACATCGCAAACCACATGCACCGAAAGACAGCGTTAACACAACAGGAGGCACATTGTGTAGTTTGTACACAACAGACTCACACGTGAACAATACCTAACTTTTTTCACACAACGTTTTGATGCTACGGATTGGTCTGTGTTTCAGTCAGAGGACGTTAATGAATTCTGCGACGCTCTGTCTGGATACATACGCTTCTGTATTGACTGTTGTGTCCCACAGAAGGTCATTAAAGAACATTTTAGACAAAACCCTTGGATGAACGCAGAAGTGAAACTGAAACTTCATGAGCGTGCTTTGACGTTTCAATCAAATTATACAGTTGCTTACAAGTTTTCCTGTTACTCATTGAAACGCTCTATTAAATCTGCAAAGCACAGTTACGGGGACAGGTCAAAGGGTTATTTTGAGGAAGATGACCCTCGGCGCATGTGGAACGGTATTAAAGCCATCACATCCTGGAAACCTAGCGCTGGGAAAATCGGATCTGTCGGCCAAGCTCTGCCAAACGAGCTGAACACGTTCTACTGTCGCTTTGAATCTGCTGATGCCTGTCCTGCTGTATTCCCTGAGTGTTTCAATCAAGTTGCCTTCATCGTGACTCAGCAGGAAGTCTGGTGGGTCTTGTCCAGGACCATAGTCGGGAAAGCCCAAGGCCCGGACGTCATCCCACCTCGTGTCCTGAAACTGTGCTCTGAGCAACTTGCCCCTGTGCTAACAGAGATTTTTAACCTGTCGCTTAGGAACTGTACCTTAATGACTATCGTCCTGTGGCTCTCACGTCTGTTCTAATGAAGACTTTTGAGCGGCTCGTGTTAGACTTCATTAAGAGCCAGATCCCTGTGAGTGTTGACCCGCTCCAGTTTGCTTACAGACAGAACAGGAGTGTGGAGGGTGCCATCTCCTTTGCTCTGAACTCTGTCTACAGTCACTTGGACACTAGTAAATCTGTCGCGAGAATGCTTTTCATTGATTATAGCTCTGCTTTTAATTGCCTTGTCCCAGGTAAACTGATTGAAAAGCTCATGTCTCTCGGTTTAAGTGTTGCCATGTGTAAATGGATTTTTAGCTTTTTAACTGACAGATCTCAGAGAGTGAAAATCAATGACTGTTTTTCTGATGTTGTTTCTGTGAGCACTGGATCACCTCAGGGATGAATTTTGAGTCCTTTACTTTTTACATTGTACACTCAAGACTGTGTCTTCCTCTGACTCAAACTTGATCATCAAATATGCTGATGACACCACCATCATCGGTCTCATCAGTGACAATGATGAATCCTCTTATAGAGCAGAGATACAAAATGTGGTTCAGTGGAGTAACGCTTACAACCTCCAGTTGAACGCATCCAAAACATGTGAACTGGTCTTTGACTTCAGTCGCAATAGTTGCCTGTCGTAATCGACAACTCCCAGGTGCAGATCGTAGAGGAGTGCAAGTTTCTGGGTTTAACTCTGTCTAACAGCCTGAAATGGGTTAAAAACACTGACCGAGTCGTTAAGAAAGCTCGTCAGCGTCTCTACTTTCTGCGTAAACTTAGAGAATTTACCACTAACTCTAAGATTCTGCTTAACTTTTATCACTGCACCATTGAAAGTTGGTTCTGTGTCTGTGTGGTTTGGAAACACCACAGATAAAGAAAAGAGAGCTTTAAACAAGGTGCTCCGCTCTGCAAAGAGGACCGTGGGCTGTGAGCTTCCTGTTCTGGAGGTTCTTTATAAATCCAGACTTTTAAACGGAGCTCTTAGAATTATCAATGACTCTTCTGGCCACCCTGGAAAAGCCTTGTTCCAGCTTCTTCCCTCTGGCAGAAGATATCGTTCTCTGAGATGCAGGACATCTCGTTATGCTAACAGCTTTTTTCCACAGGCTGTTATCAGTTTGAACAAAGCACTTTAAAATGATCTTGCACTTGTATTGATATTGTTTTGGTCGATCAATTTCACTTGACAATTGTTTACTGTTTTATTTGTTTTATTTCTGTTCTTTTTATGTTGTTTTATGTCTGTACTTGTCTTGTGCACACTGGGGACTTTTTGCAAATGTATTCCAATGTGGTTTTACTGCAAATGGCAAATAAATGAATCTGAATCTGAATCTGACTCTACAACAGTCCCAGGATTTTCTGATCCGATCCGAGCGCAGTCCAACAACTATGTCACAAGTTTCAACTAAACTTATTCAGGGACAAAGCCTCAAATAAAACACACAGAATCCCCACAAAACAATCACCAGAATACTTTATCAGTAGCGCGAGTGAATGTTCTGTTTTCTTACCGTGATGCAGATAGGGCGCCGTGGCTAATGCTAATGCTAACATGAGCTTTTAGCCATGTCCTGCCGCGACTCTGTATATGTCCTGCTTCTTTGTGGGAGCTTAAAAGTACGATGATCCGACATTATTCCTCCATGCGTCTCTTCTCTTCACACCACGTTTGTAAAACCATATATTATGTTAGATCCATGGTAGAACTCAGTAGAGCCTCTGTGCAGGGTGCCGTCTGAACGAGGTTTTGTTTACTTCACGAGGTTTTGTTTACCTCCACGCGACTGTCAAGTGCATGAGACGTTTGGAGAGATTTTTCAATCAAACTAAAGTAACTCAAAGGCTTCCGTACTATATTGGACTGCAATATAAGATCTTAACGCTAGATTGCACTAAAAATTACACAGTGTACCTTTAATATTAACAACTTAAAAAGTATCGGCCCATCCCTACTTTTTCTACTACTTCCAATACCACCATCACTACTACTACTACTACTACAGTACTACTACTACTTTTGTCTTCTCCCCTCTTACTGTGTAAAACTTGAAAAAGGATTGCCAGAGACTATTTGTTTCTGTCTTATCTCGACATGACTCATTTGAAAATTTGACCCTTTTGACAGATTTTGTTCTTTGATCTTTTTTGGCCCTACACACTGTTTTTCAGCGTGTGGTCCTTGTTGAAAGAAGTTTTGGACATCCCTGATACCTGAAGTGTTGCTTTTCCTTTTAAAAATGTTCTTCTGCCCTGTGTCCTGTAGGAGGTGTCCTGCGATGGAAAAAATGAAGCGGTTTAAGAAGCGGTTGTCGTTGACTCTTCGCTCGAGTCAAACCATCGACGAGTCTTTGTCCGAACTGGCAGAACAGATGACCATGGAGGATGGAGGCACCAAGGACAATGGTTGGTCTGAGTGATTTTAGTGATAACATATTTCTATAATCCGGGTTCAATTTATTCTATAGCACAGTACTTGCTGCACTGTTAAAGTGATAGTCTGTAACTCTAAATTAATTACACATTTTAGGAAATGTGTTAAATTGACCTCCTGGCCTTAAATGTTGATATAAAATAAGTCATTTTATTAATTCTAATATTACGGGCAAGTCCCGCCTTCCCTGCTCTTAGCTATAGTTCAGAATCCCCGGTGCCATCGAGGTTAACCAATCGAGTCATGCCAAGGGCTGTCAATCATCGGCGCTGATGCTCGCTGTTGTTTGTTTTTGCGGAGCCTCCGAATCAAGCCTCCATTAGCCTCTGGAACTACATGAAAACTGAACAAAGAATTCTGAACATCCGCACTGAGGTACTTATGTATATACTGAACCTATATCCATAATCAGATCCTCTGCAAATATGTCCTATAATGTGCAATTCATGATAATAGTACTTCCTGGTTTGCCGCGATAGCTTTTTTTGTGCATAAAAACATTATTTTTTTCATTAAAACGTTCACAAATAATTCTGAAAACCTCCGTGGATATGTATTAATAATGTATATGTATAATGTGTTCTCTGATTAACATTTCAAAGTGTTACGGAAACGTAAGTGTAGACCAATCAGAAAGGAAGGGGAAGGGAGCTTGCGTCGCTTTTTTCAAATCAAGTACCTCTCTCTCTCTTTCTGAAAAACTCCAGACAATCACTTTAAGTGCATCTGCATATAAAAAAAAAGAACATTACAGATCTTTTTAAAATCTTACAGCAAATACATGGACCTTTTAAGGAAAACAAAAACATCTAAAACACAAATTGATCTTATATTTTCAAATATAACTGGCAGAATAATCAAACGTTTTTATTTCATAACTGGAATTTCAGATAACAATTTTGTTCTAATTAACAAAAGTAGATTTACCTTTAGGAAAAGAAATAAAGAAACTATCTATAGAATGTATTTTGACAGTAACATCCCACTTCTGTAAAAGATTTTTAAGTCAATAACTTTGCAAAATAGCCCTAATCACATAAAAACAAGTCCTGTTCTTGTGCATCTCTCTCTGCTGTTCTTTAAGCACACTGGGAAGCAGGAATGTGTGCTACGTCATCAACTCTGAAGATCACCAGCTTACAGTTCTGTGTTCAAATCCCTTCCTGTACCCCAGGGGGTGCTCTCACAAAATCAAAACACACACATTGGCCATATCAATTATCAATATATATAGGCCGCAAAGATCTAACTTGAACAAAGTAGTGGCTTATAGTCCAGAAAGTACTGCACATGCTTAAACCACATCTGTCTAACCACTTTGGTCGTACACGGCAAAATCACGCAAACCAGCACACACATCACACACGAACCGATTTCACCCCCGAGCATTCACAGGTCACCGGAAATCTCACAACATCTCTCGAGATCAAGCGTGACTTCAGAGTAAACAGAGTGTGCGGGCCTCTCCGCTTCACGCAGCCTATAGAGACTCTCGTCTGACCACAGCAGCCACAGACACCATGAGGACAAACACATACATGTGGATTATACTACTCTACAGTTCTCTGGCCCGTGCTGTCCATGCTGTTCAACAATACAGTTTGTACGGACTACCTGTGAACGCATCTGTAACGCTAGGCTAGTAGCGGAGTGAACAATTAGGTTGACCAGAAGTAGATTCGGCCAAGGAGCCAGGGTGTGTGAATGAAACAGACAAAATCAATTGCGCTTTTAGAAAAGTATATATATATATATTGATTGAAGTCACAGATTCTATAAATATAGGCGAGGTATGCGATAACGATAGTATATTATTTACATGTGTTGCTATAAATAGGGCAGATATAAGGAAATATTTGTAATACAAAAACAAAACACAAAAAACAAAAAGTGTCCTTTGGTAGGTCAGTTCAATTCAGTTATGGTGGGCTCATAACTGTACTTTGAGTTCCTTTTAGAGTCTTTAGAGTTCCTTTTTGGGATTCAGAAAAGTTCAAGTATGCAAGATCCTACCACTCAGGTAGAACAATAGCTCGCCATCAGGAGGTGATTGCAGTTGGTCGAAGAGCCGTTGCAATAATCCAACGTAAAACAAAAGCCTGACCTGGAAAGGTCAAAACAAACAAAAACACAAAATAAGCATTTGTATAAATAAACTATTCTACTGAAAAGGTACATGATGTACATGTGGAATGTACATAGAAGAGTAAATGTAGATACATATTTCCATATGTAACTGTTCCAAAATAAAAGTACATATTTTACATAAAATATGCTAAAGTTATATTATTTATAACCAAAGTCAAATCATAAATCAACCACTAAATAGCTGATCAATATCATAAAGGTTCTTCGATTCAGGAACCTACATCTCAAAACAAGTGCACTTTAAATCAGTTTGATTCATTAAATACATACTCAAGTAATTCATTAAATACTCTTATATAGATTATTTGAGCAGAGATAAAAAAAATAGTACTCAAATACTCAAGCAGAGTCAGTCAAGTTGCGCAACGATCAAAAATAAACACGTAGCTACGTTAAAAATATCAAATTAACAAAGGATGGAAACCGGTTGCCGCGTTACTACAGTACGGCAAGGTTTCCACACGTAGTCAGAACTAAAAATAGCTCAATCTAAATGCTGGACGCGATGCTTGGTGCGTCGCGGACGCATGTAAAACAGGGACAATAGTGACCGTGTGTAAATGGAGTTTTGAATAGGAGCGGCAGCGAGGTTACCACCAAACAAAACTGAACATTATCATATAACGTAAGATCACTCGCTAAACACAAAAGAGACAACCCGAACTGCTGTAAAGTAACTCACCATTGAAGGTACAGAGTCAGATTCGAAGTGGGATGATGTCAGGCCGAGTAGTTTGTTGGGTTTGTTAGCCCCGCTAACAAACACTGGCTGATACTCTGAAAGTTACGCGATCATGAGCGCTCACAAAGATATGCAGCACATAATACGACCACAACTTGTATATGGACTCACCCTGGATCGGAGATTCAACGTAAAAGATAATATGAGGCAAAATCAGCGCGGTAAAAGGCAATAAACGCCGAGAAGCCAGACGCACGCCACAGGCCACAGTCACAGAGAGCCGTCAAGGAAGGGGCGGGGGGAATGACCTGGTATGACCCCGCAGGTTAGAAGGAAGCAGCGCTGACGCTGTATGCATTTATTGGGCCGCAATATTCATAAAATATTATTAATGTTGGGCAGCCATAATAAATATAAAAATATCATGTTAGGAAATACGGGTTACACGTTCCCCCCCTAAACTCATGTACGGCCCTGTACATGCAACAGGCTGACAGCAGACCGGTTGGGCACTGGCAAGGGTTGGCTGGGCCTCATCGAGTTCAAAAGCATAATTGAACGCTGTGCTTAGTCCATGAAACAAAGACTGAATGCTATGTAGCAAGGGGTGACCAAGTTTCGAATATTGCAATCGGTCAGGGGGACGACGTTCTCTGGTTTGGCGGCGGACCGGTGGGTCAATGTCTGGACTGGACGTATTGGGGTCAGAAGGCGAGTCAGGAGGAGAACTGAGAGACTCCGGGGACTCCGGATCAGAGGAAGAATTGTCCACTGGCTCCAATGTTGCATCAGGTTCTGGATCGAGGTGAGTATTCGCGGGTTCGGGTTCAGGTACGGTATCATCAGGTAAGTTCTCATAGTCATGCGAGTCATTCGACTCCGGTTCAGGCTCAAGCTCCATCTCACAACGTTCCACTGCAACTTGAACTTCTTCATCTGGAATAGACTGAGGTTGCTGGCCAGACGGAACCACAGGCAATTCGGGTGAGTGAGAAGTGGAAGTGGGGCGTGAGGAAGAAGGAATCTCAACCACAGAAGTGAATCGAATTGGTTCTGGGATGGAGCGAGGCACATTCGGAAACATTTCTTTGTCCGATAGATCTTCATCGCCATCTTCAGAGGATTCTGGGGGTCCCGACCCTGTCGAAGACAAAGGACGGTCCCCCTTATGCTGGGTTTGCTTTGCGGGAGAAGGAAGGAAGCCACAAGGTAAGAGAAGGTCTCTGTGCAGTGTTCGAACAGGACGATCTTTGTTCTCTGGTTTAACAGTGTAGACGGGAAGTGGACCAGATCTTTTGATGATAATATAGACCTTTGGCTCCCACCGATCTGCAATCTTGTGCTTTCCCCTTATGCGCACATTCTTCACCAGCACCCGATCACCCACAGACAACTCTGAAGCAGTAATGTTTTTGTCAAATCTGGTTTTGTTCCTGAGCATCAACCGCTCAGAATTCTCAATGGCAATTTTATAGCTCTCTTCAAGATGGGCTTTGAGCTTGCTGACGTACTGAGAGTGAGATGTCTGCACTTTCTCTCCCAAGGGCAGGCCAAAAGCGAGGTCTATTGGAAGACGTGGTTGGCGCCCGAACATAAGCTCATAGGGGGAGAAACCAGTTGCATCACTTCGGGTGCAATTATATGCGTGCACCAATGGTTTTACGAAATCTTTCCATTGGGTCTTGCGGTGATTTTCAAGAGTACCAAGCATGTCCAGAAGGGTACGATTGAACCGCTCTACTGGGTTACCCCGAGGGTGGTATGGGGTGGTTCGGGTCTTGGTTATTTCTGCCATCGCACAGAATTCCTTGATGGTGCGGCTTTCGAAATCGGGTCCCTGATCACTATGGAGCTTTTCAGGGATCCCATAATGCACCAGGAAGTTATCCCACAAGCACTTAGCCACGGTCCTAGCTTTTTGGTTCGGCGTGGGAACCGCAACTGCATACTTTGTGAAGTGATCGGTTATGACAAGTATGTCCTTGGTCTTGCTTCGATCGGGTTCCAGCGACAAAAAGTCCATGCATACAAGTTCTAAAGGCCTTGTCGTGGTGATATTGACCAGAGGAGCTGCTTTGTCAGGGTGTGCTTTCCGTCTGATGCATCTTTCACAGTTCTTTATTTTGTTGTAAATGGCTACAG